TAATAAAACCATATAAATAATAAAAACAACCTTGAAAGCATTGGAAAACTGAAAAATGAAACTGTAACAATAACAGGATCAAAGCTGTATTGTCTCACCAGGTTGAGGAGAGTGTGGTGCCACAAAGAGGGACAATAACAGAGAAATGTCACACAGAAAAAGTCTTGTTGGTGGCACAGGAGCTTAAGACGTCACAGTGAGCATACAGAAGTCAGAGGTTAAGACCCCGGAGTAGGCAGTTTCTCTCTCTGTAGGCCGTGGCCTTGTGCTGATGTCCTTGGGGGAAGTCTTCTGAGGCATCTTTATACCTCTGCTGCTGTTTCCTTCATGTGTAGGTTTTCACTGAGGCCAGAGCCTGTGCTGCAGGAAGAGAAGGGGAGGTTTTATAATGGAGGCAAAGGTTGTTCAAATATGCTCCAACAATAACACTAGACAATGGAGACCTAAGAATTCCCCAAAACTCATAGATCTACAATGCAGTATTTTAGTAATTTGAGTCTTCAAATATTGTAAAATGTGAAAAAGTAATGGCCCTGCAGCAATGTTGAGTTGAGTCACGTGACTTCTCATACCACAAGAAATACCACAAGATGAGAAAAAAAACTGTCCACAGCAACACAGAACAAACAGATCATACAGTAACTGTATCCTTACATATATCCCCTATACTTTTACATAATGCTTCATTAACCCTTTCACTGTGACGTGCTTTTTCTCCCCAGAGACAACAAATAAAACACTGAGAACACTTTAGCATTGTGAGTATGGACAAAACAGGTTGATGAAGGCCCTTACTGGTGCTACTAGACACACATGAAGTGAGACCCATCAGTGAGTTGAGGGGGTGTGTTAGGAGACTGTGGAAGGGGTGGGGAAGAGGGCGACAAGCTTTTCACTGCAATGAGACAGAGCAACATGTTGAAAACACACGAGGCACACACACAAAAAAACAAAATTATACCAGCAGCTACTCAAACAACACAGAAAATAACCACTGAAGTCAATGAAATTAATGAAGAAACTACTGCGAGTACAATGATAAATGACTGAACACATAAAACAATGGATGGTTTGACAAACCAAAATAAAAAAAGTTGTGATCTTTAAAAACAGGCTCACACTACCTTTTGTTTTATTACATGCATTCTTTTGATCAAACCTCCCCCAACTCCTCCCTCTTCTCTCGAGAGATGTACCTGCTACCAGCTTGCTGCGTTTGGAGGCCTCTGCTGCCAGCTCGTAGGAGATATTAATCATCTTCTCCTTCTCCTGTATGGTAACCTCCTCTTCAGTCTCCTCCTCTGGGCTTAAAGCCACACTCGGCAGCACGTTCTGCATGCTGGAAGCACACACGTACAAAAAGGTCTGTGTAATATACAGTATACAGCTTTCATTGTCAACGTAATTACAGAATAAACACCCCGGGACAGACAAGCTATCTGCTTCAAATCAAATCAAGAGGGCTGACATTTAGAATAAAATGTCACAGTGGCTAGCAGATAAGACGTTTCTTAACCTCCAGGCACTGATCTGCATGGGAAGAGCATGCAAGGGAGTGTGGGCACTTTAGAGCCATACATGGTGATGTCCTGTTATAACCCCAACCTTGCTCCTCACTTCTACAAACAATTTCATGCATGACATCTGTAGGGAAATATCAGCACTCACCTTCAACGATAGCCACTTCACCAAAGGATCCTTACCTAACATCAAGGGTCTGAGCAGCCCTGTCCATGCTGATAAAACAGTACTGGTACAGATAAGACCACGATGGGGTGTTTACCTGTTTTTGGCGATGAGGGCTTTGATGCGATCTACTTTTCTCTGCTTATCAGCCTCCTGTTCAGGGCTCAGAGCCTCCTCGGGGTCTGACTCCACATAGCGCTCAGGAATCAGCACTTTGTCAGGCACAGAAAGCTGAAAAAAACACAAAGAAACACTTAACATGGCACACTTCACGCAAATGAATGGAATACTATGTGCTAAAAGTGTCACCAATGAGGAATTATAAATCAGAAAGACATTTCTAATTAAATACATACATAACACATGCACAATTGTGGGTGTATGTAAGAACTAAAAGGAGCATCACCGTCAGCGAGAAACACTTAATGCGAGACATTCTGCAGCATGCAGAGATCAGTAAACTGTAAGGAGTTCATTGATGTAATCCAGAGAAAGGCAGTGAACTCTTATAAAAACAGCAAGAAGCACCTTATAATCAAGTGTTTGGCTTATAGGCAGCTTGTAAAAAAGATTTTATTATAAGGATCATTGTGCCATGCTCAGCTTGGCATTGGAATAAATCCTGGCTGCAAAGTTTTGCAACTTTGCATTTTGGTAGATTGATTTTTTGGTAGATTGATTTCTTAGGAGGACCTGTAAGAATGGTATTGCATTGATTTAAATATGATTAAACAAATCATTTTTATAGCTATTTTCACAGTGAAATATGGTGTCAATTGCACTGTGGTCCACAGAGACATGGTTCTTCATCTAGCTAAGATCAAAGGATATTTTTCCTTTTCAGAATTTACTTAGAGATACAAAGAAAGATACCAATTGGCATTATTTCCCTGACAATTCTGCTTTAGATAACAAGCTGTGTTACACTGAATTGCAACACTTTCAAGGTACAAAGGCATTTAGTTACAGGATAAGTTCAATATCAAGTTTCTTTCAGAACATAATTTATTAAAAAATATGTCTTTTAATTGCACTAATACGATGTAATTAAACTATTTTCTTTAATTATTCCTTTTACTGTGCTATTAAGAATCAAACCCACAATACTATATGTGTCTTTGGTAAAAATTTCCTGTGATAATATTAGCCCTCTCAGTCTGATGACTAAGACAGCCACCTGATGAGTAGGACAGCCAACTGCAGTGACTTACCTCGCGGTCCACATTTAAGTGGTCAACCTGCGAGGCTTCTTTGAGACGAGCAATCTCCTCAGCAGGCGTCTCCTGCTCCCTCACCACCTCCTGCTGCCTGAGTGAAGCCTCCAGCTCCTGAATGTCACAGCTGATCACCTCGTCTCTGCGCCTCATTTGGGACTAAAAAAAGACACAGGAAAGACAAGACGAAAAATGAACCCAGGATTTGATTTCAGCCTACTCTGAACGTTAGTGCCTTAGCCTTAGTATCTACGCCCGTCTCCAAATACCTGCATGCTGGGAAAATGGTTTCCTTTAGTAAATGAGTGACTGCGAGAGGGAGTGTTCTCCTGGCTGCCACCCCGGATGCTGAGGCCTTTCTTTTTCTCCCTGAGGGCACCCTGCTGGTGGCGGCGGATCCTCTCCAGCTGCTCCTCCACACTCATTCTGGGCCGGCTGCTCTCCACAGCACACAGCTGCTGCTCCACCGCACTGCGTGGACGCTCCTGTTCAGAGATGACCACCACAGACATGCAGAGGGACACACACAATAAATAGAAGTTAATAATAATGTAGCATCACTGTCAGATATACAATGCTAGGAGACAAATATACCATGCTGAAGTTTTACTACGCAGAGCCACAGGTCAGATGTGCGGCGTTCGCAGTGAATACTCGGTATGTATTGTTGAAACTTGACCAAGTAGAATAATCACATCTCCTCTGGAAATACTGCACTTACTGGAAAAACATTTAGCTTCTTTAAACCAAGCAAACAGTCAAGACTGACACAATAACCACAATAACGGTTGTGAAATGGCTCTTTAATTTTCACTCTCTTGGAGCCAAAATGACCAGAAGTCCAAACAAATGTGGAAACAAGCGTACTGGCTGCTGTGCACACACATGCTCCTCCTGGCACACATGGGTGCACTCAGAGAGGCAGGGGGGCCTGTTAATGCCTGAGCGGGAGAGAATATGACGTGAAGTGAACTGAGGAGAAGTTGTTCACTGTTCAGGTTTGTGCCATGCTGGAGGGGCTGGCAGATCTGGCTTCAGTCCAGAGCCTGAGGACGGAGCCTCCACTGTCCAGATTGTTCAACAGGCTGGTATCCAAGGGCCTAAGATGAACTCTACAGGCCTGTGACCCGCTCTCACGCTCCCAACCATGGGCTATATGGCCTACAGGGAAGACTACAGTATGTGTGAAGCTGACGTTTCCCAAAGTTCGTGTAGATTCATTTATACTATATGTCCATCTTTCAAACACAAACGCATACAGACACACTAAAAACAGGACACACCCTACAGTGTGGTGCACTAATGACATGGTTAGTTTATTTAAGTTCATAGTGTTTGAGGCTGGAAACTGTATAAACCAAGCTTGGCATCTATTTTATGACAGCCTGGTTTTAAGTGCATGAGTCACACCCTGGCCATTCTATGAGTGGCCTCTTCTGCCATGTTAGCTTTCAACCACCAGCTTAATAACCAAAACAACCAATTAAGAGGGGAGTAAATGCAAAAACAAAAAGCATATTGTTTTTCTACTACTTAGAAACAAAGATGTCTGGTTTGCCACATAGGAAAAAAAAAAAGCCCTTTTTACATTTTCAAGTTAGTTTCAGACAATTTACGGCTAAATCTAGCAGCATGCGGTGGTTCAAAAGGTTAAAACATCCTAAAAACAATTTAGTATTAGAAGTGACATCACTCCAAGAGCCAGTCCAGAGACTCACCGTCCTGGGGTCCGGCTTCTTGCTCTTCCTTAAGGTAACATACGAAGCAATGGAGGAAGACTCAGGTATTGGAGATTTGGTCCTAGGTGGAACTATGCCAACTGGGTAGGACATCCCTGGCAGGTAAAAAAGAAAAGAGGTCAGTAAGCCACCTGGGTCAATGACACATTATACACAATTATACAACACATTAATAGAAATGCAATGAAGAGCATACTCCTAGGGCAATAATATGAACTGAGTTTGCACAATGTTAAAATACAGTTATGTTCAAAACAGAAAAAAATTACTTCAGGAAAAACAATTAAGAAATATTAGAACTTTACTAATACAGCAACTGCAGTTTGGCCAGTAAGTTTGTTGTTTGTAAATTTATTTTTCTCAAATCTGTAGAATAAAATCATTTGTGTATCTACGAGACCTTCAAGTTCAACCCTGGGAATATATAATCTGGCATCAAGTATACTCAATCAACAATTGCAGTATTTTTCACAGTGTCTGCAGGCAGCATCGGCAGGTTGCTACTATTGATTGTGTGGTGGTGTGGAACAAGTGTGGAGCTACAGTGTAATCATTCAACTTCAGAACACCTGGATTATGCTGTGCAAGCTGTTTCATCAAATTTAGGCTACTTTGCTCTTTTGGAAATTCTAAACCACCTTTTCACAGAGAATATACGAATATAGTGTGGCATTAAGTCTAAATAGAGTGGAGTAAATAGAATAACCAAGTTATTTTAGCACTCATACATATTTAAACCTACCGTATTAAAAAAATTGTGATTTACAGAGTGTTAATTAAATACAGACCTGCCCAATAATGGCTGTCATGAGATTTACTTAGTGATATTCTGAGCTAGCCTGTGGAGAAAACCCTGACCTTAGTATTTATCATCTGTGTCAAAGTGATGCCTGTGTAAATTCTATGGTAACCATGGCAACTATCAGTGCTCTAAACGAGTTCAGTATAATTTTAGGCGACAACATGGACAATTTATTGGAAAACTGCAGAGTTATCAGAAACTAGCATCGTATTACTTGGAGTTACTCGAATGCACCTTTGTTTCCAGAATGTTCTCTATCAGACGGGTGGTCAGATCGGTCCTCTCCATTGCTCTCATCCACTTCGGTCACTGTGGTGAGCTCTGGTTCACTCTTATAGAGCCTGTAGTCTGGGCCCTGTCGATCACAAAGACAGAAGTTCAACACACATCTCTGATTTATAGTTTGGTTTCAAACTGATACATTAAACATCTGAAAAAGTGACATTTTTTCTTTCAGAATGACTTCAAAGAAAAAGGCAAACAAACTTCATTTTTCTACAAACTGTTTTTACAGACTAGGCCATCTTAAAACATAAATATAGAGAGCTTGAAGAAAAACTCTCCATGTAGTTCGCGTTTTACATACACTTTTACAGCCAAATGAAAAAGCGGGCAGCAGGCAGACACATTTAAACTCAGACATGTTGAACACAACAAACTGAACAAAATCACTATTTTTGAACACAAAGAAACAGACACGGAAAAGGAAGACAAGGCAATTTAACAAAATACACGAATGAGGCTTCATCCAACTAAGTGAACAAAAAAAAAAGATGATGGGAGAAATGCATCAAGTAAATAAAGGGATATGATGCAACCAAAAACAACCAAAAAGAGTGTTGATGTCCGTCAAAATGAAAGTGGAAACCATCACAGCGAGCAATGACGTGATGACACAGCTGGGGGCAACGGGTCAACAAGCTTACGCTGTGTGTGCCATTCCTGTGACTGGCCTTCCTGTCCTCCGGCCTGTGGAGGGTTGAAGGGCGCACACCGGCATGAGAGGGCAGTGGGGGCACGGTGGGGGGGTTTGGCTCGTAGGACTGGGGTAGGGGTGGCCGTGGGGGTACCGAGTCCTCCTCCTGGGGATTATACAGGGCATGACAGGACAGGAAGCAAGGTGACACATGGCGCCACCATGCACGCTCAAGGCAACCACCATCTGGTACAGAGTAGTTCTGGCCCACTGGACAACCAAGCCAGCTGAGTAGCCAGAGAGAAAGCTACAATATGCTGTTACAGGGTGACACATCCAGTCAGATACCAGCAATCATACTGTCCACGAGCGGGGCTGGAAGTTTGAGCACTCAGCTTAAGTTGGTCATCATCCACAAAACTACAGGAGATCTGGGTAAAGAGAACTACAGAAGCCCTGAGAGGCAAGTGACAAAGAAAGTCTGATCTTGTATTTATGATTTAAAGGAGGTGGGAAAAGACTTTGCCATGACAATCTTTCTAAGTTCTTAACTTTTTTTTCTTCTGTGAAACAAGTGGCAAAAAAAGGTTTACCAGGTGAAAAAAGTTTTCAGGGTTTGTTGTTGCAATACTCATTTCGGCCACAAGAGGCTGAAGTGAATCACTACCTCAATACCTTTATTTTCACAATAGTTGTCTATATGTTTTTCTGATGTTCAACTAATTAATCTGATGCCTAACTGTTTCAGAATTTAGGACCAAGTGTACTGTTTGGTGTCCCTGTTAGTGGTGCCTTACCTCATTTCTGTGCTTGCTGAAGTTAGTCATGGGCCCATAGGAGTTTACACCATCAGCATTTCTCTGAGCTTTATGTTTATTAAGGGCCTCCATCACATCCTGAATACTCCAAAGTTCTTTCTGGATCTGGACGTGCTGCTGGCTGGGAGGCTCGGTCTGAGCGTGAACAGAAAACACACACACACAAACACACACGTTCACAAATCACCTAACATTACCTGCAAATTAACACTGAACTTGGTGTTCTGGAGACATGGAAGAGCAGAAGAGCAAGAGAAACAGGCTTGTAATTATCTCCTCCTTACTGATGGCAGGTTTGTCTGTGAGTGAAGGACACTTAAGAAGAGGATGTCCAGGCACCCTGACTGTCAGAACAGTTTCTCTCTGTCTCTACACCTCTCCCGCGATGAAGGACAAGATAAAAGGCAGAATTAATTAAGAACTGCTCTATCATCACTACAGCCATCAATCACTCACTATGTTGCTTTGATCTCACAGTTACTATCCTCCATGCTGCAGCTAAGGGCACAAGAGCACAGCAATCTTCTTTACTTTTTCCCCAAAGAAAAGAAGAGTGTCTACAAAAAGGATGACTGGGTGTTCAAGGTAATCTGCCACATTTTCAGTTTTGTTTGAAGCTCTGCAGTAAATGTACTCCAACCAAAGTTTGACTATTATACCATGCCAGTCTTAGAAAGCAGCAGTGGTGAAAGAATAAAGCAGCACAGCTTCAGTCTCAAGAACTTTTCTACCTGAGGGCTCCCCAGTGCTTCAAGTTGCTCCAGCAGGTTGTTCTTAGCCAGAGTCACATCTCCTTCCAGCTTGTCATACTCTCTCCACGATCGCTCCAGCTCCTGGTTTGGGAGGAATACACTTTGTGAATGACAATGTTGAAAAAAAAAAAAAAAAAAACAGTAGGCAAAAACTCTCATCTTATTCCCGAAGAACGAGGGGGTCAGTGTCCAGCATGATGTGCGTGTTTGTACTGTATGACTCACAGTTGTGACTCTGGAAAGCTCTCTGCAGGTGCTGAGCAGGCCACTCTGCAGTAAGTCTCTCTGCTGGATGACACTCTGCATGGCGGCAGGGTTATCAGAGCCCATCTCTATCTCTTGGCTGGCTGACAGCAGTGCTGTCTCCAGGGTGTGCTGAAGAAACGCACAACATATCAAATACACATACAGCATGAGTATGTCATTTGTCACCATGACCTTTTAGATCAGTTAACTTTAGCAAAGTCATAACAGATTATTCAAGCTTCTCCAACTTTTCTGGCCCATGAGCCTTTTTAGCTCCCATAGTTTGTGCAAAGGTATTAACTATAAAAGTATGGCTGTAAATAGCTTATTTTCTTGGTAAAAATGTGTATTCTTTTTTGTGACTAATCAAGTGATTGTTTACTCTAAAAAAAAAAAAAATGACAACTGTGTTCAGTGCTCAAAGTATAGTTTTCCAACTTATAATGAGTCCAATAACTCAGATATTTAATCGTATAAGTGACTCCAATGTTGAGTGAGATATGGTGGACAAACAGTGCCATACTGTTCATTACTGTTCAAACTTGATTATTTTCTCTGTATGCCTGTCGACACTGCAAAGCGACCAATACAATGTTACAGTGTGCTGACAGTGGACAGTCAGATATGTTAAACACAGTATGACATGGCTATGCAAGCCTTTCAAACCAGACAACTCTTGCACAGTGATGACAGTAGTTAGACCATAGTTAAAGGCATAGTATGCAGGATTTTCCTAAAAAACAATGTATAGTCTCATACCAAAAAAATTATCACTTATGACCCACTGGAAGTATGCAGTGGTGTTTCTATCTGCAGTGACCCTGTCATCTGCATCTGTATTTTCTTTGTGTGCGGATTGTTTCTGGCTGTCTACCTCTGGGCAGCATGCAGGGTGAGTTCAGGACTCAATTTAAATGTAGCAACCAGGTTACATCACTGTCTCTGTATATCTCTATCCTCTGCTCCCTGTCTGTATCATGGATGCATAAAGAGCCGCAGGTCTGTGAGTCAGAGTCTGTTTGGCCGAGGGCAGACAGAATAAAGCTACGCTTCAGCTACATTCACACAAAATCAAGAAATGTGGCACCTTACTGCATAGAGATGTTTTTATTTGTGCTTTAGAGCCACTGTGGAACAATTAGAACATTACGTTTTATTTCTCTGATTCACTGCTTTGTTCTTGCTAATATCGCTCCCTTTCCTCAATCATGCTCTATGTAGCTCGACCAAAGGAGCTCTCCCTGGGTTATTTGACCTGGGCAGGAATGCCTGACTTTGCATAACACAATGGACAAATCCTGCATAGTATGCCTTTAAGCATTAAAACAGATAAACAAGATAGTTTGTTTTTTTCTCTCTGTCAGCTTTGTACATATAAACTTAATTCAAGCTATTTCTATAATTAAACAGTTTAAACTGTGTATTCTTTTTAGTTTATTTTTTTCCATTTGGCACCACAGCCTTATAAGCATTTCAAATTGTGTTTTATGTGAGAAAGTAATGATGACGGATGAGCAGTTTATTCACCTTCTCTCTGTAGAGCTGCTGAAGTTTGTCCTCCTGTGTCCTCACCAATTTATCCTGCTCACACAACCTGCTAAGTTTGGTCTGAAGAGAAAACAATAAAGCGTTGTGACCCATTATGTTCAGTGAAATGGAGCCTTGTGTCATGCGCAAGTGCAACACTCAACTTACATCAATGTCCACCTCTTCTGGCATACATGTATAGGCGTGTTCCCTGTAGTCTTCTGGACTCAACTGTGAAGAAAAGACAGAACTTTAGACAGAGACACAAAATATGCACATACACATTAGAATCTGGAGATCTAATGCAGTGTCATGACAAGGCTCTCTCACTGAGCCACAGGATTTGTCCTTGAGTGGAAACTCATATTTCCCTGAATCAGACAATCTAAGTTCACAAACCAACAGTGGGAGGCAGCCAGCCTAAACACAGATTCTGGTGCCTCGTGTTTCATCACCCACAGTCGTTTGTTTCCATCAGCACTACGCAGTGGTTTTATTGGAAATGCAAGGGGAGGCATGTAAAACAATCTTGCTTACTAAACTTTAGAGTCAGCGCATAAGCTGTGTTCACCAACACACCAGCACACGCGCTGCAGCTAACTGGTCCGAGGACTCTGCCTGTCTGGTAGCTGTGGTCAACTGAGTATGTGTTGCGTTAAGTCAAAGTGCAATATTATTTAAAGATATTCCCAGAATAGACAAAAGCAGTCAATGCCAGACTGTATTCCAGTTACTTCTACACTATTACAACACCTATGTTTATTATATAACAAAACCTACATTTCTGAAGTTACAAAACCAAGAAAAGAAAAAGTCATCCTTCTTTCCAAAAAACAGCGCTCAAACTGAGAAAATTATTTCAACTGCATTGGATCCCATGTTTCCAGAAAATCCATTCATCACATGCTTTATTCACCCACTCTCTAAATAAAAAAATAAAAAAAACAGAGTCCATAAATATTAGGACAGTAACATATTTCTGTGTTGTTTTGTGTACTCACACTAGATATGAAATGACATGACTATAACGTCAAAGTGTTAACTTTCAGCTTTAATGTACATCCTTACTGGGCCAACTCAGATTAACTGAAAAATTAAATACACTTAAGTAAGCATGCTCAATATATGTCTAAAATCATGACTGGCTAGTCTACAACTTACAGATATTAGCATGTGACGCTCTGCCAGGCCTGAACTGCAGCCATCTTCCCTTTGTGCTTGTTTTTGTGGCTTTTCGCTTAAGTTTGGAACATATCACATTTCAGATGTTTCTGTTTGGCCCTAAAAAACATTGGTTGCTTTGGTCGTGCAGTATTTTTGGGTTCATTACCCTGCACTTAAAAAAAAACCTTTAAGCTAAGAGTACACACTTTAACTTCATTGACATTATTTCATTTCAAATCCAATGTGCTGGCCTACCGAGACAAAGCAACAAAAAATGACTCACTGTCCAAACACTTATAGACTCCACTGCATACCAGCATTCAACACTCACACCTGCATTAATTCACACACACTTTTCTTCACACCTTTTTCCTCGGTTGAACCGCACGGTACAGTTAAAGCAGGTGGGACCTGAGAACCACATGGCATTCCACACAGAACATGCAGACTCTCCCACAGCTCAGTGAGCTTCACTGTGGTGTTGTGTGGTGTGGATTACAAGTGACATGGGGAGGAGGAGGAGGAGGAGGAGGAGGGAGACAGACTTCTGGCAGCTGAACAGGTGGGAATGCAGCTGTTGCTGGGCTGGTACGCCAATGAATGGTGGGAGGGTGAGGGTGGATGCGGGCAGTCTCCGGCAGCACTTTTACACCTCGAGAGGCGGTCACAAAAGTGGCAAAGTGATGTCATAGCCGTCGTCACACACAAGCTGGCCCTCTTTATCCTTTCCACCAGCAGAATGACAACAGGGGGTGAGAGGGAAGTAATGCAGACAGGTAAAAAGGTCGGGTTTACCTAGAAGTCTTCATCTTCATCATCAATGTGACCCCCCGCCCATATTAGGTATAGAGTCTATTCCACAGCGGATGTTCAGGTGTACTCAGCCTTAAACCACTAAATCCAAACATCAATTTCACTGCTTGAATTAACTGTAAACAAAGTTTTACTTTTTCTGTTTTGTTTTCGGATAGTGGACTATTCATAAATCCTGCTAAAAGTGAAAATGTAATTACCTTATTGTACTTAATTAATGCCATAACAACTAAGAAGTGACATGTCTGACAACACGGAATTAAGTAATAATTAGAGTCCCCTTGCTATGTCCAGGTGGCTTGTTTAATGAGAGGGAAGACAATCTGCAAAGGGTAATGAAATATCACACTGTAACGTTTGCTGGTTAGGGCACTAGACAAAACAAGCTGAGTTAAGACTAGAGGCTTTGCTGCTTAAATGATCTGGGTGCAACCACACACAAACCTGAGAGTAAGGAAGGGATTTAACTGAAAAGTGAAGCATACACATCATACTACTCTTTTACAAGTCATTCCCATATTGGCATGACTTCTCATAATAGGAGGAGAACAGTCAAAAGCAATGGATGAGGAGGTGCTGGCGATACAAACGATACAGGGAGACCAGTCTCAAGATGCCATGAGGACTTGGACACCGGAGGAGGAGCATTGCACAACAGACCAAAATAACAACAGCGACTGGTGAGGATGAGGCGGAGCAAAGCCTTTGGCTGGCCTTACTTGCTGGTAAAGTTGAGGCCTTGGGGCAGAGTTCTCAATCAAAGTGTGAGTCATGACGATTAAAGGGTCATTTTCCTTCATCTAGTCCAGTGTGGAGAGGAGCGATATGTAAGTGTCAGTTCATAGCAGTGCTTTACTTCAACAATGTTGTCACACCTAGCTTGCTTTATCTCATGAAGCAGACTCAAACATAAACATCCAGAGAGGACAGGGATGGATACAGCAACGGGAAGCAATAAAAAGACGCTTAGAAACAGGATCAGGAAGACATTGCAGTGCAAAGATCTCACACACTTACTCGTTAGCGGTGGAAAGCTCCCGTTAAACTTTAATGTATCAATGATGCAAATACAGCTGGCAATATTATTTCATTGTATGTCACAAAAGATGGTCAATGTTAAGCCGTATTACCTTAGTTTCAGTATGAAGACCAAAATGACATATTTCTCAATGGTTACACAAATCTTAGGCTAGCTCATTTAAGTATGACATTATCTTCCATATTATATTATTAAAAATGTGTTGTTGTGCCTCTGTGTACTATACAATGCACTTTTGTAATTATTCAAACTCTCAAAGCACTTCAGAGCAATAAAAAAAACAGAAGATGAAAGACAATGATACACACTTTTCTATGTGCACCGTGTATGGAATATCTCCCAAGTACACGGAACAGAGTGATTTCAGATATTAAGTTAGTTTAGCAGACAGTGGATTAAGGGTACGTATTAAATTAGTTCAGTTCATAACAGGAAGAGACAGGGCCATGCATTCATGCATTACCCCACCTGATTGTCCAAATACATGAGGTTCCTTTGGAGATGATGGGAGAGAATGTCGTTCTAACGTCAGCAGCAAAAAGGAGAGGATAGAAAGGCAACAGGAGAGTGAGACAAAAGAAAAGAATATTCTCTCTCTCTCTCTCTCTCACTCTCACAAACACACAACATGTCATGTACACTATACCCAGAGTTCTCCGGACAGAAAGAAAGGCAGTCAGTCAAGCTGAAGAAAAAAAGGTCAGGTTGCAGATGAGTGTACTATGGGACATGAAAGAGCTCCATATGACCAAATGGCCATATACAGACTTGACCAAATGCAGGGAAAACTCAAAGAAAGCAGTAAACTACAAGGCAACAATCTTTGGCTATAGTGGTAGAAAGAGACTTCAAATAAATTGTAAATAAGTAGTGGCTAAAAAACAAAACTGATTATAAACCAAATCCCCTCATACCCGACCATCGTCCACCTCAGGCCTGGTTGACCTACATCAGCAATGGTCAAATCTGTAGTCTGACATCTCAGAAGGGACTCTAAATGCAAAAATCCTGAATTAATATTCATGTATGCCATTGGCCTTAACCTTCTTAGCTGGTCGCTTAAAAGCGTGTTTCATTTCAACATCTATCTGGACTCTTTAGGGAAGAAAAATTACTCAATCAACTGCTTGGCTGACTGAAATGGATCAAATTTAAGGCAGCTGCTGTTTGTTTCCAGATATTTCACATATTTTGGGAAAAAGTTGAAAGCAAGTTAGCTAAATATGATGAACAGACAACTTAAAGCCAAAGCATAGTCCCTTATGGAGAAAATGCTTACTGTAGTGCCTTTCTCCTTAAATCAGCCATGTGTGAAGACAAAAAAAATAAATTAAAAAGCCTCTGGATCCAGATGAATAATGGAAGTGGGTAAATATGGCATACACACCACACGCTAACACACATGCCTGCAGGGCCATCTCTGGGGGCCTGACCTTTGGGTTGTCGCCATCCATGTTTAGCTGCATAAGCTGTGCTACAGTGTGCTCCCGGATACTGTTTAGCTCTGCCTGCTGCCGCCGCAGCTTTATCAGCAGCAGAGTCAGTTCCTCAGGCTGCAAGGGAGGGAGGAAGGGCGGAGAACACAGCCACAATGAAACAGGGACACACCGTAGGGGGAGTGGGTAGAGGAAAGGAGAGAACACACCAGGACAGGAGATTTAGAGGTATCAGGCTCCCAATAGGTGAACAGCTGCTGTATCTAGGTATTGTGTTTTCATGCAGCTCAGGACCACGAGATTATCCAAGGTGCTATCGCTGTTAGCAGCATGCAAAGTTTACACGTCCACTCAAGACAGAAGAACAGTTTAGCATTTATTACAGGATCCAGTTCAAACTTGAGCAGCGCCATGAGGACATAGCACTGTGTGCGGCTTTGACATAAATTCCTGATCTGGCTTAGAGAGTTGTGAGTGACAGGGTTTTTAAGTCTCCACTGATGTGAAGCGAGTCAAAGGAGCTCCTGAAGTGAACATACCCTAAATCCTACTGCTTGGAACATACATCTGAGTTCTGCCTAAATCTGTCTCTAAAGATTCTGACACAACGTCTTCTTGGAAGGAAAGGAAGGGCAGAAAGAGGGAGAAAGGGAGGGTAGGTGGTGTTGTGAAAATAACCTTGTCCAATTAAACCCGAATGAATAAGTGTGTGGAGCCCAAGCTTGAAATTACTGGGTGTCTTACAGAAATTCAGTTAGAAGATACTGGTGGACACAGACGGGGAACAACATGGACGAGGACTTACTGTTTTGCCTTGCAGAGACTGGGCAGTGATAGTCTGGACTGGGATCCCTGCAGGCATAGACCGCCGATCAGGTGGGTAGGCATACTGCAGAACACAGTGAAATAAAAGCACAACAGTCCGTCATTTTATACAATGGATAAACAATCACTCAAAGCTGACTAGTCCAGCAAAATACAAAGAAACCTTTTGGACATACCCTGTGTTATTTTACGTGCCAAGTAATGAGATATCCATCTCAGCTTTCTGTCACCACAAATACAATGAAGATGAAAGGAATTTTGCTTGTGCTGCTCAAAATATCGAAAATGACTTGATGGATGGAAACTATAAAACTAAAAGCTTTTAGAGACCCTGTTATCCAAAATAATCTGAAGTACATGCTGTCAGTACTGTCAGTTTTTGAAAGACTATTTAATTTACTAGTAAAAGGTAGTTCTAATAGAAACTGTTCTGTCACTGAAGTTATGTTGGATAATGTTTTTTTTTTGTCAATTATATTTTTAATGTTGGAAGCACCACAAACAAAAATCCACTCACCTCCATTTTATCTCAAGTTTGGATATCTCAAAATCAGAGCAAATAAACCATAACTATGTGCATAACTAGATACAGCTAAAGGTAAGTGAACTACCCTTTAAGCATTTATGTGTGCCTCAATTGACCTTGTTAAGTTGTGGCCTGTGCCGTCTGTCAATGCTCAAGTCTCTTCTGTAGATGGGAGAGGACACCTCTGATCGGGCATTGTTCATGTTGTAGGATCGCATTGGAGAGTAGCCACCGTACATGGACAGGGAGCCGTGGGAGGGCGAGGGGGGGATGGAGTGGCTTGGTGCAGCATGCGCTGACAGATTGATCATGGTTTTGGGACTGGCCATATTGCTGTAGAGCCCCGGCTGCCTGGTGTAGGCCTGCCTTTGCTGCCACTCAAATAACTGCCACATGGTGTCATCGCGCATGGAGCGGCGCTTCTCAGACGACGAGGGACCCAGAGCCTGGTCGTACAATGATGGCGACATGCTGCAGATGCTGTCCCGCTGTGCCATGCTATTCCTGGGCATACTGCAGTAGCCATCGCCATAATGAGGCATATAGGGTACCCGATGACTTGGCATGTTTCTAGGCAGCGTCTGGTATGACGTGATGCTGGGAAAAAACAAAGAAAAAACAGAATTTGTTATGAGGGAGTTAAAGCGATCTCATTCACTTGATTAACACAGACAAACTCTTCAACTGGTGTTTAGTGAAAGTCAAATAATTTAGTACTTCTATTTACTAATTAATCAATAATAATAACACAGATGAGTAAGCAAAGAACTGCTTTTATGTCTATGTATTTTGATCAGGACTTTACCATCAGTACAACAATTTAATCATTCTTCCACTGCTTTATTATGTGATATTTATTTCTTTATTTTCCTAGACTCGTGGCAGGTTCAAAGTAAAGAGTTTATAGTCAATAAGACTTTTATTTCTCTGCTTTTGGTTATTTTGATCAGCAAATAAATTATAACTTGCTAGCTAACTCACTCATCAAAGCAATGTCATGTTAAGAAATAACAAACCCGCAAAAGTTTTTTGACAACACATCTAGTCTAGTCTTCTATATAGAGTCAATGTGGACCCTTGACTCTCAAGAACCTCCCCAGGACAAGGCCTTTCCAGAGACAACAATGGTTTTAAAAGCTCCACTTCAGCAGTGGGTTCAAAGTCAGTGCAGCTGGCAGTGGGAGAGACTTCCTGACAGATTGTGGCTAGAATGCTCACTGGTCTGTAAAAACCCAGTAGCATTTAAAAAAATGCTTGTGACTACATGGAAACTAAACATCATTCTGGAGGACATGCTTGTAATGATAAACAGAGACTGTTGAAAGACATGAACCGAGAGTGAACGGAGAGGGGAGTGTACATGCTTATCACAGAGGACCACTACCGAAACAAGGACCAAGGCCTTGTTGTTCTTTTATACGTGATAAATCATTTTTAAATTCATGCTTTGCCAAAAGCAGATGCTTGTGTCAATTTTTAAAATAAACTTATTCAAGGAGTGAGTGGAGGCAAAGAGACAAGGCTGTCAAACATGAGCACAATCTAGCCGATAATAAAATAACAGACAGATAAACATATGGAGAGACAGACACACTGACAGACGGGCAGACAGGCAGGCAGACAGACACTGTGAGGGAGCAAGTTTAATCTCAACCAATTAAAAATGGGACTTTCACAGCAGGGTCAGTGGCAGGCAGTAACTCTGGCTAAAAGCTCTGCTGAGCTATTATTTATCCCCAGCTCTACTTACTGGTACACTCTATAATGTAATATCAAAGTGTTAACATCATGGTGAGGAGCATGTGAATCCTCACACAGCTTTAGAAAGAAATGGGACTAAGGAGCTTTGGAAAATCTGAGTCTGCATATGTACTGTATGTGGCCACTCAGATGCTTAAGGAGAATCCCTCCTGTCTCAAGATGCAGGTGAATCAGTATTTCTAGATGATACTAAGTTTAGCCAAGTTCTGCTTCTTGTTGTCGAATGAGGACAAAGCTTGGCCTCTTGTGCAATAACCTTAAAACAACTTGTGCCAGCATATTTTCTCCTAATTGTAGATCGCACAGTGAAATAATTGAAATAATTTAAACCTGCAAAAGGTCATTAATTCAAACCAACCTCCTGGTATCATCGTCTGGGGTGCGCCCTCTTTGTGTGCGGACCCAGTGCTCCAGTTGCTGCATAGAGCTGGTCCTGTTTAGGGTGCGCTCTGGCTCATGGGTGGGACTTTGCTGAGGAGGGGCTCCAATCCCATCAGCTGGACATTGCTCACCAGATCCATTGACCTGGGGGCTGCGGTGTGACCCGTCCATTTCTGTCGGAATCTGCTGCGAGATGAGGTTAGCCTTGACGGCCGCTGCCTGGGCTGGCTGCAGTTTGATACTGTTGATCTTGGTGAGCGGACGCTCGCGCTCCGCCCCCTCCTTCTGGAAGCCGTAGCGCTCAGCATCTCGCTGCTTCCTATCTTCTTCCGCTGTGGTGGAGGGGACTGCTGCAGTGCGCTCACGGTCCACCTCACGGTTGCGTTCATTGTTCTGAATTTCAGGCTGTGTGAGTGGAGGCTTGTGGTTGGCCACATGGTTGATCTCTTGTGGTCCACACTGCTCCACTTTTAGCCTGTCCAACCTGATGAAGACAAAGAGGAGGCCTTATGTACAATATATATAAATCTAAGACCCTGTGTTAGCTAAAGGCAATCAAGACACATAAGATCACCTCTACAGAGATGGAAAGATGATAACTACAGTAGATGAATTGCCAGCTGGGGTACTCATCTGCGTCATAGATCACCAGTAAAAGGTGTTTCAGACATTGTATCAAGTACAGCTAAAATATACTGTAGACCTAATACACTAACTTTGGGAAGTCTGCTAATGGGGGCAGCTCTGAAACAAAAAGAAAGTGCAAAGAAAATTGGTGGAGGTGGACAATGTGTCTTCCAGCTGCCAGAGGAGGCCAGGCGTGTCAAAGGAAATCAGATCTCCAATAAAACGCTGCTTCTGCAGGGGCACATCACAAAGGTGCTGCTCAAGCTCTGGTAATCCATTTGCGGCTCCCTTTTTCCCTCTCTCTAGAAGGCCTATCTACAGCTCTGTGGTCCTTAGGGAGGTCTCCTGAGGTAACAGACACCACTACTCTTTGGCCTTAGACAGACTCAAGGTCACAGCTTCAAAGTTTGGCAAATTCCCCTTAGCAGCATGGCTCACTGGGTTAGCAATAAGAGGGCAGTAGGAAAGGCATTCCTTCAGAGTTTCCATTGTATCCTTTTAAATAGCAGTACTAGTCACGTAATGTCTTCTCCAGCCTTCTGTGGCTCCACGAGCCCAGTAGAGCACACATTTAGCCCTATGAAAGATCTGTGTGCATTTACTCATAGTATTTTGAAGAAATTGTAAAAACACTTAAAGGGAAAGGTCCATATAAGGATTTGTGCTACTGAATCCTGTTTTACACTGCCCACCAGCCTAGAATATGAAAAAATACTGTACATAGAATACAAGACACTTGATACGTTGGAATTAGGATAGTTGTTTAGTCTAGATAGATATTACAATGCTGTTATTATATATAGCTTCATTACAGCATCACACTGTCTGATTTAACAGCTATTCGGTCAATTTCAGGCACTAGTGCTCTGTAATTACAAAGCACTTCACCATTATGCCCCTGCTTGCCTGTGTAAAAGGGGGGCATTACACAGGCAGACCGCCAAATGACAGACATTTAACACAGTTCAAAAAAAAGGAAGGAAAAAACTCTATCCTGATGAGTCAGTGATCCTGATCAGCCAGCATGGCTCTGCACAACCTGCACAATGCATTCACAGTGCTTATATTACCACATGCACATTCTGCAAAAAACTTTGACAGTAAAAATAGTTACATAACATTAAAGAGCTTCTTCAACAAACCCACAGACCAGAAATATCAAAAGAAAAAGAACTTTTTTTTTAAATTTTAAAAGACTTTTTTACAGTACACATTGTAAAAAATAAATAAATAAATAATAAAATCGGCATGGAAAAATGAACCAAGGAATGCAAAGTTAATTGTATTTGTTTCGAGCTGTCCTCAAATGCCTTTTTAAAACTGTATTTTGCTCCATTCAAAAGCAAAACAATCACTGCAATCACTTTATTTAACTTCAAATAAAATACAGGCCCTGTGTCAGAAGTACTATTTTAGTGATGCCCTTACGAACCTTTTGACTGGCTCTGCATGCACAAGTGCAGCATCTGTCATGACTTTCATCCAAGACTCCATCTCTTTTGCCGTGTCAGTGCAAAAATAGTATGTTCGCATGTTGGGATGCGTCGCCTGTTTTGACAATGGACAGGATCAGGGACACAGAAAAAGTTACCTGAAAGAAAGAAGAGTTCAAGTTAACTGGGATATTTGGCACCTTAACCTTGACCGGTGAAAAATGCGCTGTGATGCCTTGTGAAATACTCCTGGCTATGGGAAACTGTGCCATCCACATAAATCAAACCACAAGTCACCTGAGTTTCATGCATACTAAATTAGGGCAGTAAATCTGCCTCGATGCTGTAGGACTTACCATGCAGTGTATTGTATGGCAGGCACATTGTTCCAGAGTTGCTCTGTTTGCTCGCAGCGAACAAACCAATTTATTGTTACAGCCAGACGCAGAAAGAGAAAAACAGAATGTTTAGTAAACAACCTCAATATCCTGTTTACCAGTGTCTGAAAAAAAGAAAACTAAACTTTCTTCGGAAAAATCTTGAGAAATAAGGAACTTTTAATGACATGACCATTCTGGCCACAACAACAAGGGACAGCGAAAGCTTAGAATGAAAAATATGCAGTCAAAAAGTCATCCCATTCCTGAGTGAATCACTGTAAACTGAAGAGATTGAACTCTGTTCTCGTGTTTCTCTCTTTAGCTCAACTTGCTCTCTTTCAGCCTGAGTCTAAGTTAGAAAAGGAGTGGGCCATGTGGTTGGAGAAACCTTGAGCAGACTCCTGGGCGTCTGTGTTTGGCTGTACTTGGCAGGTCAACTTTGTTGTCTCTTTGGGTTTATGAAGGCCCCACAGTCAAATACTGTACACACCACTGAGATCCCATTAAATATGCCTGTTGCCCTGAAACTTGGGGTTTCGGAGTAGTAGGAATATTGCAATGCTCTAGTACTCCAGCACAGACATATCACTGTTGGCAAGTGCTTTCTTCGCTTTCTTAGCATTAGTAGTGTGCAAGTAAAGTCTAAAAAATGATTTCTAAAATAAAGACAAAACATGTTCAAAGCAAAGTAAACCTTTAAGTTGATGTATATACAACAAAACACTATGGGAATGTAAGACAACCACAGCAACAAAAAAAACTTTCAAACTGTATACCAGTGATCAAATGTACATCTTGAAAGCTTTGTACATTCACCTCTTAACTTATCATTTTATTAGTGCTTGAAATAATACTAATGCTTTACTTTTTAATGCTCTAAATGTAAGCAACCATAGAATATGCGATCTCACAAAGTTTGACATGAATGAACACATGCTCTGACCTTGAAGGCATATTTTCTGTTAATGTGATCATCCACAGACAGCATGGATATACGAAAGCTCGGTAGGAGGATGCTGCCAAGTATGCCCTCCTCCTTTTCATCTGCAGAGGAAAAACAAGTCAACACAATGCATTAGGGGCTATTTTTGTCAGTCAACTTCAAGTTGTTTATGATACTACACTAAATTCCTATGTGGAACACTCATTTGTAAACATGATAAAGGCAGAGACAAACCAAGTGGCTTGTGAGATAAAAACTAAGAGGAGTGACTTGGTCAGATGAGCAGAGCCAAATCAGTGGAAAAGTCAGTGTCCTATGTTGCTCTAATCCTCATTAAGTTAGCAGACAGTGCTCCACATTGACAATGGAGCACCCTCCACGGGGGGGATTAGATAGAGTTTTAAGTAGAGAATTGCAAACCTCCTAATTTGATATAAGCAATCCGCACTGCTTACTCAAAACAGTGTATGAAAACAAAATATATCTGGAAAGTGCTGCAGTCCTGTCCCATATGTGCATTTCCTGTCTCTGTTTGGTATGTGTGCATGTTTCTGCATTGAGTGGAGATTTAAAAAGGTCTCCAACACATACTGGTAGTAAGTGGGATGAATAGAGCTCATTGTGAATGGTGAGTAATATTTGGGGGAATGAGTGATAGCTGGACTCTGGTCCGCCTCTGGTAGTTTAGAGGTAAAACTGTCTGTCCCCGAGCTATGTTTAGAGCCCTGGTTTCAATACTGAAGCTGGAAGGTTGGATGGATTGATCTACTCGCCAGCTTTAGCTGTACCTGCAGACCCAGCAGACCCACAGGTCCCACATCTATTTATTCATCAAGTCACTGTGTCTCTGCTTCTCTCTCTTACAGACACACAAACACAGCCTCCGAACACAAGCTAACACTGTGGGTGATCCTAGGCGCACAATAATAGTCTGATAACTATAGCAGATAGCAGTTGTGTCTAGTTGAGGGGCAGCACAGTTCATGACCTCTCTGCCCACTCGCTGCTGATGGATGGATTTCTCAAAATGTCCGTCTGGATAAAGCTTTTGGGTCTGCTGCTGTCTGTGGCTTTTGTCAGGCAGTGGGCGGAAAGAAGGCGACAGGACTGGCAGACACCAGAAATAACACAGACTAGATGTCATGCTGATCAGCAGAAATGATGACTGTATCCGCATCAAGTGAGCAGGGGACATTGGGATATGTGGACGTGTGCCAGGAAAAGACTTTTTATTTTCTCTGTAGTTGCAGCCTAACAGTAGATCTGCTCTACATTTACCTTACAGCCTCAATGAGTATTCATTTAATTTTTTTCTAATAGAAGCTTTCAGACATTCTCTGGACACAGCTGGGTCAATATTTGATATGAACATTAGTAGTGCGTGAGAGAGGCTGAAATGCCCAGTCAATAGCAGCTCAGTCAATAGCATCTAATACTAGGGTTATAAGGAGAATGAGATTTTAATAATTGAATGGAAAACCTTTAAACTGGACTGGAACTCCCACAATATCATGAAAAAAGATGGCTAAGATTAAGACTGATGATTACAGAACCATGTAAATCCCACACGCATTCAAAAGAAATATCACAGTCAAAATATAATACTGGTCCCTCTAATGTGGAATTATAAGAAGATCTTTCAATATTAACAAGATACATTTTGTTTATTGCCACTGAATCCAAGATTTACGCTAGTATGCAACCACTATATAAAAACAGTAATCTCTGGAAATTTGTTCATAACTAAACATTAGTGTGAAATCCAATTTCCTGCTATGCTTTCTCTTTTAACATTATGGATGCATCCAAGCTTTGGTTAAAGCCCTGGCTTTGGTTGGGGAAAAAAATGACCTCTCAAATGGCAAATGAGAAAACAGGAGAGCCATTTCAATTAATACGTCTCCTCAGTTGGTCCTGACAGGCTGCTTACCACAGGGACTTGGATCCAGATGTATTAACAATTGCCAAAAGCGTGGCTTATGGCTCTGAAGGTCACAACAGCACTTTTAACTACTAATCGAAAACCACTATTGTTGTAATCAGTTTAAAACTAATGAAACATGTTGGCAGCTGAGAGCACAGGGCTTACCTCTGTAGTAGAAGAGACACAGGTCAGACAGCACAAACCACCTCTTCTTCCACAACTTCATTCCTGTACTGTCCTGAAAAGACACCAGAGGGAATAGGGATCAGTTACTCCACAAACTAGCTAGAATGGATTAAAATGACAAAGAAAACAAACTTGCTGTTGTCCACTTGCCTCCTTCGATATAATTAGTTGATTTCCTTCCAAAATTTCAGGCACCTAAATTTGACATATTCTTGGCCTCCCATGTAGTAAGGGAATTTTATTTTATTCAGGGGAAACGCAAGTTCAGTTATGGAATAAACATGATAGTATGCATATATCATTTAAACCAAATAAATAGCTTTCACTTTTAAAAGTAAGTAGGTTGTTCAGTGGGGAACAAAAATAAATCTCCTTTGCTTAAGTTCTTCTTTGGTATCGCAATGCTGTGATCAAAGGGGGGTTTCAGGCTGCTGCTTGAAAAGGATGAAGGGTGAGGAAAAGGGTATTAACTCCCCCGTTCGTTTTATTGGAAAACTTGAGCAGAGTCCTTAATCGTGGATTCCACTCGGAGACAAAAGTAGGGGGAGGGACCTCAACAACTCTGTCATTATGGTCAAACAGCATGTGGGCTGCAGTTTACTTTAAATGGAAATTCACTTCCATGAACCAGCATGTTTAACACATTAGTATCAAAAAGTCACAATTCCAGATGCTGCTCAATATGCTCATAATAGAGGCATATCAGATGTGTAGCAAAAATTATACTTAAACTGCTTGTGTCCATTAATTTATCACCTTCTCTCCATTCAATCAAGGTCTTAACTACTCATTTTACAGTGTGTTCATGAATAAACTTTATCAAAAGTGGCGTCAGATCTTGCCCTGTTCAGGCGGGAAGAGAAAAACGAGGCTTTCACCATCACATCAATCACTGTGGCATTTTGTTCTCCCAATGGATCAACTGAAGGGCTGCAGCTTTTCCTCAGCCAAGGACCTCAATAGCTTCCAGGTTTCAATGAGGCAGGAAAATAAAAGTGCAAATCCAGCTTTTATTTAGGGTAGCAGATTTGTGAGTCTTTGCTTGATCTACGTCACCCTGATTGAGGTCCCCAAAGAAATAGCAGCTGGCAGCTGTACCAAAGGAGGCAATCACATGTTCACAAAGCTGCACTGGGAGGCTGCAATCAAAACTAAATGAGTGTCCCACTTAAGAAGCATGAGAGAGTCCTGTCTGGCCAAGAGCTGCCTCAAGCACCCCCTTTTCACCCTCCTGTAAGTAACCAGGGAGCTGTGATGAGGGATTGGTATTTAAACACTGCCCGCGCTGGATGACTGGCTGAGCAGAAACACTGGACAAAGAAATGCTCAGACCCTGTAAGACATCAAAAAGCTTCCATTGTGCTCATCTTCAGACTGTTGCTGAAAATCCTACAAGGAGAGGGAGACCCTAACTTTGTTCCATGTGTAAAAAGGAGAAAGGTTGTATAAAAATAACGTTTGCATTCACAAAACGAAAATTTTAGACATTTTCTTTCAAAATATCCTCTTTTCTGAATCAATTATATTATACATTTATCAAAAAGCAAAAAGAAAGACCAAACAAATATAAGTAAACACTAAAAACATGTGTTTCCATGCATTGATTTCTTTGTGGTGGCCCACCATAAGTCAACATTGATTTAAAATTATAATTATACAGTTACTGTAGACGCATACATATGAAACTGCCTGACATCACCTTAAATGCATTAACCCCCTTCACTTTTCCAGCAGTTGGGAAACAACACACCAGAGCTTTACTTTGCAGCAATTACAGCTAAATTCAAACGTCAGCATACTAATAAGCTTACAATGACAATGCCAACATGCTAATGTTTTGCAGGTATGCCAAATTACCTACTCTGCTGCTCAGTATATTACATGATTTAAAAGACTAAATGTGAAGTTTTACTTATATAATCTTGCTCACCTGTTTATAAAGCCAGTTTCTCTTGATTACCGGTGCACTGGGATTCCTCCTGATGGAGTTGGATCTCTTCCCAAAGTTATGAATTTTTTTGGAAGGTCTTGATGGCTAGAAATACAGTATGAATGAGTAAATATTATCGTGAGGAGACATTTCTCAAACTTTTCAAGGCATTAAGCTATGATCTTGTTGGTTTTCCATAGTTTTTTTCCCAACTTAACAGAAATGCATAATAACAATGCTTTCAAGTGTTTCACTTACTCTTCCTGCTGGGCTACTGGGGTTTGCGGCGTAGTCCGAGCCGCCTGTGTAGTTGGAGGCCTCACTCATTGTGCTTAGTGGTCGTTCCTTCTTCTCATTCACCGGCACTTTAGAGGCAGATCTAAACAAAAGACACAGAGCATGCCAAGAGCAGACAGGCAAATCATCAGTATGTTGATTTCTGCCTAATGGCTGAAGGACAATAGGACGAAGCAGACTTTATTGTCTGTTCCCTGATCATTCAAGTTCAAACTTTTTTATAATGAGATCTCAACATGGGCCTATGAATCAAGCCAATTACTCCCACCATGTCACTGCAGATACATTTTCAGTCCTCTAACAGCTTTAAATGGTCTGCAAAGTCTGCCTGACATACTAAATTGCAGCAGTGAATCAGGTCAGGATGCTTTTAAAACAAATGTTTCAACAGCAAAAGTTGAAAGCATTGTAAGTTCAATACATTTGCCATAGGATAAAACACCTTGTGAAACAAGTTGTCTCTGGCCCATGGAGATGTCCTACATTCTTTAGGAAGCAGACAACGTTGTAGTCTAGAGGGAACAAGACAGGAAAACCAGAGTAGAGCAGAAATACTGCAGCAGTGAAACAAGTGTAATCTTTCTGATGTCCTGGTTTCAGGTCACTGAATAAGGACAGAAACTGCCAACCCTGCAAACTCCCCAATCTCATCTGTCCATTTCTAACATTCGTAGACTTCAGATTACATGGTACCATTCAGGATAAATGAGGCACTCATTTGATCAATAATCAATTCATTCATTCATGATCAATATGTACTTTCCATCCATTTATACCACCTAGATCAATCTTTCGATCTATCTATCTGTCGGACACAAAGACAAGACTTTTACCATTCCAAAAAAGGAAACTCATAATTTTCAAAATGGTTGAACAATTCAGACTCCATGCTGTTATACTCAAGTTGCACAAACACGAAAAGGGATCACAAGGGATAACGGCAGCTTGGCTCACAACAGCAGGCAACACACACAGGATTTTCATTCCCGTGCAGCACAGTGACAGATCTGATACTACCTGCAGACCCTTCAAAAGGAATGATGAGACAAAACAATGACAATCACAGACTCACTCTGTCTTACCTATTATATAGGGAAGTTATACAGTTTGTTACAAGGTAAGGCTTAGCAGCAAGAAGCAGCAACATCATACTATTATGTACTTGACATCTTATGATTGCTAGCTAAAATTAAAGAGATTTTTTTATATTATTAGAATTAACTGGCTGTCTTAAGTGACTATATACATTATGTAATATATAAGAGGGTTCTGTGAAGATGTGACACATCCCTGGAGACACCATCAAGGAAGTCACTGGGTGGACAAGTGGATGACTAATGCTGTCTCGAGTTGAAAAGCACCCAATTTTCTAGTTACTCCTCTAAAATAGCTGCTTCTGCAGAGTGTTGAGTAGCCACTGAGATTTGCCTTCTTCTCCATCTAATGAGCTCACTCAAGAAAATGATCTCCATAGAGTTTCAGCACTTTCACTGACTGCAAAATCCTGAATGAACTATAATCAATGACGTGGCGATTTGCCATCAAATCGTAAAGGTTTTGGCCAATGGACCATTTCCAGGCTCTAAATTGCAGTGTGTTTGTGTGTATTGATGCTTTGATAATTATTTTGGGCCTGACAATCAATCTGCATGCAAGGAAATTGAAAAGTAGTGAGTGCTAATACTGTGCTAATACAAAGTAGTTGTAAAGAGTGTAAATAAAGCCTTGATGACGTAAATTCAGAGGATAACACTTTATTCCAAAACATTCCCCATCTGGGACTCTCGTATTAATTTATCAGCCACTTGTAGTAAATACAAAGCACACATGCAATGGAGCCCACCAAATGCTTTACATTTATATTTTGAAACGAAACATTGCTCTAACTGGCTTCCTCTAAAATGTTAGCATGAAATTCCACATAGATTATGTCACTCTTGACAACATGCTGTGTCTGTCTGCTTTAAATTACTATTTTCTTGTTTAGGTTGGCGCGTGTCTCCCAAATTCCCCAGCCCACAGCAGATATGACTGTGATGTACAGACACAGTAATAGTGGTACCAAAATACCAGAGCTAAACAACAACCATCTTTGTATTTAGAACAGCTTGTCACAGCAAAGTCAATGAATCTGAAATCGAAGCCTAAAAGGGCTATGAGATGGCTTCCTAAAAAACATTATTAAATCTACCTGCAAAGCAGAGAGCAGGGAGTTTGGTACGGTAACATTTTGCTTTGGCTATATAACTAAGTATATAGTATATATAAAAATACAGCACTGGTTTACCGAGCATGCATGCTTTTTAAATGCAATGCCATTACCCAGGCATCTATTTGCAAAGAAACACAACAGACAGGTTGCATGGTCATCACAGGGCCAACACACAGGCAGACAAGGACACCCAGGGGTGATTTACTGGATTTAGTTGATCCAACATAACCTATGTGTGTTTGGTCTGCTGAAGAAAGCTGGTGCACCAAGAGGTACACACAGTGGTACCCATAGAGAACAATTCCATATCTCCACCGCGGATCAAACTCCTGATTTTCTCAGTTTTAAAATAAAATCTGCATGTTTTCGTAATATATGTTATACTATGTATTACAATAAGACTGTTATTATATCTTCACAATATGATCCTATAATATTCATTTTCTTCCCAGCTCAACATATGTTACACTTTAATACTGTTACAAATGGCAGAGTTACATTAAATAATTTGCATGTTGAGTGTTAAATAAAAACAATTAATTAAAAAATGGTGAATTGAGATGTGTACATAAATAACCAGTGTTGTTCTCATATTGTTTTGTGAGCTCTACCCCATACAAAACCCTTTTATAAATTCCAGATATCAAGACTAACCCACAACATGTATTAAAAGTGTCACATCACTGCCTGGTCATGCATGGATTTTGTGTGCCTGTGTGAGTGTGTGCAAAAAGAGTGAGGAGGGATTACCCTGCCACTGAAGCTTGGTGCTCTAAGCACACTGGGGGGAAACGCTGAACTGAGTGGCTGAGGGTGCAATTTAAAATGACCACACAGCATTTCTAAAGAAATACGGGTGCTTTCAAACACTTTTGTTTGGTGGTGAACCTGAGCTTTATCTTTTTAATGAACAAAAGACAAGGAGACAAGGCAGGCATATACAGATCAAGGATCAGTGTACGTTAATAAGCATAGACTTACCAGTAGCATAAAGCTGGGTGATAAACCAAAAAAGTACAGATATGATTTTTTATCAACGTAATTTGATATACGTATTTAATATGTTTTGTAAAATTGTGATTCTTTTAAGAGTAGTCCCTTCATAAAAACTACAACAGTTAGTCTAAATTCTTGCTTTTGTGTTTCAAAATCAGGACCTAATGCTAAACCTTTGGTAGTTTAGCATATTTAAAACATGATTGTTCAGCAGATCACATTATGCATACCTACAGTTGTCTGTTATTTATTTTTTAAATCTGTTTTAAAATGTATTGTCAGTTTATTGATTAAATACATAAATAAAAGTCTCATGTTATTGATTTTTTGGTTATATCACACAGTTCTAGCATAGTAAAGGAACAGAGTCAGGACTCTTACCTGCGTGCGTATAGCCTGTACATCCATAAGGGACAGAGCATGAAAGGTCAAGGTTTTTGACAGTTTGTCAAAACAAAATGAACACTTTCCTGAGGCGTGTATTACAAAGTGCACAATGATCATATGTTTTGATGCCTTTTGACCTTTTATAATGGAACCTTTTGATAGCACACTGCAACCAAACAGGAGCACAGATTCCTAAATCAGTAAACTGCCGACCAAGTGAACGGAATGGCACGGATATAAAAGATTTGTCCAAAAGCTCAGCTTTCAACAGGGATGTACAACCCGACCTTTAGCTCAGGAAAAGTGAGTAATGCTCTCCCTGCGGTTAGTTGTTCATAGAGGTTTAGAATATGAACACAACAACTGGTTCAGACAGTACAGTGCACCTTACAGGACTTTGGAATGCAAATGCATAACAGGTCGTCAGGCAAAACACCCACAGTCTGCTGTTAGTGTGCAACAACAAAGATTATTAACATACAGACACGTTCAAGGGTTTACATAAAAAAACAAATGTGAGGAACACACAGTTTTTCATTTGCACGTGATATTGTTTTACCTGCTAAAGGCTGGGTGACACAATTTTCCACAATTCATACTACAAAACAGAGGAAGAGACACATTTGGTGAGAATTAGAGTTCAGAAGTTTTGACAAATTAGGGTTTTTTAGGACTAGCAGCACATAGGCAGTACATTGTATTTATGTTCTGAATATATCCATAGGGCCATATCCAAGACAGTCTGAAAAAGGTTATATCATTTACTTAAAGAAACCTGGATTTTACCTTGACTCACTGTTATTTTAGTATAATGGTGTGGAGGCGTATGCAGATTGTTTTCTCATTAAAAAGTGTTGATGACACTGTTTCAGTCAAAGCAAGGACTAAAGTAATTCACTTTATGAGTGGTTCATTCCACTAGCCTACTATATGTAAATTTATATTGAATTATCAATGTATATGGTGATAATGGAAAATCTTCTGGAATATTAATTGAGTGTATACAAAAAACAATCTAGTAAATCTTAAAGCTCTGTTCACATGATTGCATCCCTGATTTTCCACTCACCGACTATTTTGGGAGATCGACAATCGGTGTGCAACAAGGGCTTGCCGATGCCAGGAAAATATCTAGCAGGCTAAATATGTGGTTGTGTCGGAGACGACTGGGGAAGCCACACAACAAGCTACAGCCAGTGAGAGCAAACACGGGTAGCCTCTGTCTACAGCACCAGACAGTTAGAAGCGAACTGGGTAGTTACTTTGGTAACAGCCAGGAAAAAAACTCAGATAGTGACGCACACGTAATGGACTGTGAATTACCAGTGTTGTGAGTCTGCGTTCAATTCAATGTGTATCTGATTCACCAGCTAGCACTTATTTTACTGAGAAATCTTCATTTTTTTTAAACGGCCCACTTATTCCCACACTCTTTTGTTTTCTGACTGCAGAGTCTGAGTGAGCACAGGCGACAATATGTAAAGTTTGTACGTAATATAGTTTATCTTTATGGATTATATTGATGCCGAATTGACAAGAACACTGTCAAGAAATACACCCTTTAGCTTGAGTTTATAGAGTTATGTGTTTTTACTGACAATTTAGGAATTGTTCAAATCTTTCATTTTACAGGGAGTTTGGAGTTGGGAGACCAGACAAGACTCCTTGTGAAAGATCTTGTAGTGTGTTGCTGATCATCATGTAGTGTGACCAAGGCTTAAAGGTGAAGATACTTTGTCACATTAAAACAAAAAACAACATTACCATAATGTAGTCATTGTGTTTTAACATTGCCTGTAATGGTTTAATACACCACTTCCAGAGATATTAAAGGCATAGCTACCATGATAAAGTGTAAAATCTGCATGTTCAAACTGTTTTTACAGCAGTTCGTACTGTCATATCACCCAACCCAGACTGCACTGAACACCATCTTGAAATAAGTTTTATTCCTGCAGATGTAGTCAGTTCATGTTTTGGTAAACATGTTTTACATGTGAGTTATACATATATTCCCTGTCAGCTTGCACATAATCATGTGGACCGCAATAAATAGGCACAGACATGTAGAGTAGTGACAGCAGAATGCTGAGGCTGACATTCACCGAGGTGGGTGAAGCCAAGGCGAGACTGAGCCCCGACTTCAGCAGTAACTTACATCACAGCATAGCTGAACGTGTAAGTCTGAGTGACAGATGTATATGTATTTGAGATTAGGAGAAACTAATGTTCCGGTAATATTCCTGTATGTTTCCTGCCATGTATTTATGCAACTGTGTGGTACAGCTGTAGTATATCTGCCTCTCTTTTAGCCTGTTATGCGTTTCTGCAAGGCTGCCCCACCCTGTCACCATTATGCAATTTCTCACACATGTAAATAAGTCTCACACATGGTGTTTCTTTCCTAGACTGGATACTGCCATCTCAGAGTAGAAAAGGCTATTTCTCTTTTCAAACTTCAAAAACCGCTAAACTAATTTAGCTTTCCTTCGTCTAAATTACTCATATGAACTTTTGCTTGTTTGTGTGTATTACTATTCATTACAACGTGTATATGTCTGTTGGTTGAGTTCTTTATATGTTATATTATACTGGTACAAAGAATTGTAATGCTCGAATTTAAACTACATTTTGGATTTTGGATTTACTTAAAGTGCAGAGCAGATTAGGCAGTGATTTTCAGCCTGGCCTTTTTATCCCTGTGGCATCTTAAATCCGTCTTTGCCTTTTATTACTTGTCCAGGGTGAAGATTTTCCCCCGTATTACTTTCGCTGAAACAGAGCCAACCGTTGGATGAAATGCAGTGTAATGAACTTTAAAAAAAACAATGTGTCAAGTAGTTCACTTTGATGTTTCTTTCCCAAAGTTGACCTCTAGTGCATCTGACATAGATTTGTTTTGCAGATTATTTTACAACGATAAAACAGTAATTGCTAAATTAGATATAATTTTGCAGGGGCATGGTGTGCCTCTCAGTGCGAAAAACAGCAGAGATGTGAGAGTAACACAGTGAGGGCAGGAATGTGTCAAGAGAGTGCAATGTGACAGTTCTGGCACAACACGCTTCTTCACAACCATTATTCCATCTCTGCCGAACAAAACGCAGCTCATAAGCATTTACCGAGACAGAATTAAAACCAGGATTTTAATTTCTAACCCACATATTGAAAAAAGATGAAACTGGTGAATCAGGGATTTCATCCTCCAATAGTTATTGGACTTTGGCCATAATTTCCAACATGGGAGTAAAATTTCACATCCTGAAGCAGAACATTTTCCAATTAGCATTTATTGCTCAATAAAATAATTAACACCAGATATGGTAACATAGACTTCAGTGCAGCAACATAACATCATGGAGAATCTGCTATGACAGACGTTTCTAAGGGAAGTGAGAAACTGAGTGGAGCTGATTCATGTCACGCAGCATTACACTAAGATCTCTGGGGTGAAGGATAAAAGTTGAGGCTAGTGTCATGGTGTGGGTTGTGATGCAAAATGTTCTTACAGATTGGGACATTGAAGTAAATTTGACTGGGAATCTGCGAAGGAGTCCAAAGTTTGATCAACATTTACCCTCTTTTTCTATGTTGGGCATCCTGCAAACCTCAGAGTACCTGGCTTTGTCCACGCCTTACTGTGAGTGGCCATTGGACAGGGTTAAAGAGTAAGAGGTGGGTAAAATTAAAAATGGGAGTACTGATGTTTCTGAAGGTGGAAGGAAACTTACTAAATTTAGTCTGACATATTCATAGAGTCATTGTCCTTAAAGTGAAAGTTCAAGATAACTGGCCTCTGACCCAGTCATGTGGGCAGACATGTGATGACCGTTGTGCTGAAAGCACTGTGGATGATCACATGGACGTAACATTGTTGGGGGACATATCTTTGTACTTATGACAACTGAAAAGGCCATGAACTCCTGTCCAAGTCAAAACGAGGGACGAACTTTGAATCACTGCATTCCCACTGGCTGATGTATACATGATACAATGGCTTTTTTTTTTATTGTCAGCCCTTAGCATCAAGATTATACTTAAAATATCAGCCAAATTATGCAATAAATAAACTATATTTAATAATATGAGTATCTAATAAATATTTTAAAAAGTCACATTCCATACGGACAGTTGGTTCTTATTTCTAAGGAATTTGTTTTTGAAAATACGTAACTGAGGAAGCACTGTATAGAAGAGGCTTTGAACTGAAAGGGCAGTGCTGCAAATAGAGGGTGGCAAAGTGCAGACTTGTGCAATGTTGCCTACACATCAGGAGTTGCATCAGCATACTGTAGTGCTCAAAAATGCTACCCAGTAGCATTCTATAACCAAAAACAAGAGACTTACTGTTCGTTGATGACAAAGATGCAGTTGTCTTGTGAGGGTAAGCTTGAGACAGGATGCTTGCAGGTCACCTTTCGCTCATTGTGACTGTTGAGAATAGGGAAGGGGAAAAAGGAAAAAAAAGAGGGATTTCTGTTAGAAAACACTGCACACACATCAGTCAAAATAAATCTATCAATACTTTATCTAAATTTAAAAACTGAAACCCCAAACATGTTTTTAAAGATCTCCATCTGTAAATGGTTGTGAGAACGCTTCACCAAAAAAAAAAAAGGAGAGCAGCAGTACTGGCTGGGCATAAATGGGAGTACTAAGTAGAGACGGGGCAGATACACAATATGGAAATAATATTAGCATGCTGTGCCAAAGGAGGAAGTCATCAATCAAAAACTGGTCCAAACTGTAAAACTGCAAACACTGGTACAAACAGACATACACTGGGTCGTGTGACACCAGAACAAGCACTCGTGGCTCCCAAAATCCAGCCAGCCAAAACAAATAGATGGGCACATGGGAAAAACAGCAGCTGGAGTAGCTCATGAAAACCCAAAGTATAGTATTAGGGCTTGAAACAAAAGTCGAAAGATGCAACATAGGGTACCGCAAAAGGTCCACAGCAACCTTTTTAGATAAGAGCACCTCAGCTTGAGCTTTCAGAATGACTTGGAACAATATACAAGAGGAGAAAATAGCTATTTAGATGCTGATTAGTATGTGGCGAAACCATTATAAGCCAATTTCACCAAATCAAAAAAATCACCAAACTCTACAGGCTCCAGCAGGCTGTAGTGCCATCCTACACTCAACATGTAATGATAGGAGATACAAAAGATGCCACCCACCCATCCTGTTCGCCAATTACAGCGCCCCACAGTTACTTCCACCCGAACATGATTAGAACCCCAGGACACAGACCACACAGTCTTTGGAGAGGAGTCCGAGGGTTTGGGCCTTCACAACCGCAGTTTTCCAGTAAAGTAGAGCCTGGCCAGAGTTGTGTGCGAGCTGGATGGTGTGGGGGCGGAAGGCTCAGTAAACCGAGCTGAAGCTTTTAATTCTTCCTCACTGTTACTAGCAGGTCTTACATCAAGTTTTTGTTTCAGCTGTGTCATTGGAATAGTGACTAGACTGCTGAATTAATTCAGGATTCAGATCCAGTTTATCAGCTTCGTATAACCTCAGATTTAGACGGAAAATCCATAGTTATTTGATTCTGTAGTCAGTGAGTTACAGCGATGGGAAGTTCAGTAAATGGAGAGAGTATGTTGTCAATATATGAATCAAATATATTGACAAAAGCAGAGATTAAACAAGACATTAGATGATATGTGTAAACGGACGAGCTGCAGTGTCAACAACCGTCTTCCAAGCTGCGACTGGACAGTTATTCTATATTTCAGCTCAGTCAGGCTGCTCTATAAACAGAAGAGAGTCAAGCTACAGCCCAAAAATAACAATTTTTAAACACGGGGTACTCGTGTACTGAAAAAAGGCAAATACCACGCATGAAATAGAGGGTTAGTTTCAGTTTAGCCTGGAGAGCAACAGTCTCCACAGCTCTGCTCTATAATTACTGGAGGCACTGTTGGCAGCAGAGCGCTCTGTGCGGTCTTGGGGCAGACCAACGGCACCATTTTTCTTTGGTATCCCTTCACACATGCCTATACTGTTCTGCACATAGGTTGGCTACAGATTTCAGACGAAGGAAGAAAGCCTGGACAGACACAGAAGTGGGATGAAAGAAAGATGTTATGTGGAACTGTGGATGGGATTTAATAATCAGTTCCAAACTATCCAATACTTAAGAATCCTTTAGCTTTGATACTCTTGATTCCTTTGCAAATAGTGACTGGAATTCATGCACCACAAGTTTTCTCTAATGTGGTACTTAGGTCAGGGATAAATGAAAAAGAGGTTTAAATATATGGGTGCATTTTGCCAACCTATTAATTGGCAATGCATGCAGTGTCATTACAGGAAAGCAAAGCGTTTGATACTTTCTAGGATATAAAAAAGAATAATGATCTGATTTAAGAAACACCTAGTAACAGTCTTTCTGCAAGACATCTGCGACCTGGGAGTCTTCGTGCACTTCAGGCACGCAGATTGAGTAGAAACAGACCGAGGATGTTAGGGTTTTATACTGGGGTGTGTCAAGTCAAACAGATACTGTAGCTAGCCAAATGAGACCACGACATTTTCCCTAAGAAGTAGGCAGGCTGAGGTTACGAGGCAGTTGACTGGCAGGGTGACGTCCCCCTGCTCAGTCGAAACTAAAAGAGGGCTCCAATATAATACCCATGTTGCTCTGTTTCTGTTGATATAAGTAATGTTAGACAGGTGTTATTGTAATATTAGCCAGGAACTTGATGCTGGCACTTGGCCTCAAAAACACCCTGATTAAAAGACAACCCCCATTAACAACATCTGTTCATCCAGACGTTTTGACAGGACACTGAGTCAAAGAAAACTTTGAAACTTACTTTCTGGAGCACAGAAAGACATGGCTAATTGATATTTGTTTGACGACTGTGCCTCATTAATCATGATTAGGATCGCAATAAACTTAACTAAACTTAAGCTCACCCCAGCCCCTGACTTCCCTGTGCAGATGACATATATACTGTAAGTTGTACAGTATATATGTACATACTATGTGTATATGTTTGACTTCACTTAAGTAATCAACTGAAAGACATATCCAGTTTGATTCTGTAAGCAAGCTACACGCAGATGAACCTGAAATAAGGATGTAAATCATACTGGCTGCATGAAAGTGAAGCCACTTTAAAGCTGTTTGTTCAAAATGAAGATGACCAAGGTTCTTAGGGGTTACGGCTATAAAATGAAAAGGCCCTCCCGAAGTAAGGAAAGTTTTTGCAGATGTTCTGACTGACACGTGTGCAAGGTCAGTATTTTTAAGAGAGGGGCGTGTGACATCAAAGAGTCCCTGTACCTATAAGGACGGAAGCTATTTGAGAAGGTCCTAAACATTCTCAACATGATCCATGTGGCATGAGAAGTGAGTGAATTCTTGGACCTCAGTGGAAAACATGGGGGCTATGAAGGAACACGACGGATGTGGTTGTGTGTAGGCTAAAATAGGCAGGATGAGCAACGGCGAATCACATTTTCCTGTTCGGTAGAAAAATCCTCTGGGAAAAGCTACAAAAGAAGCCCATAACAATCAGCGGTTGTCTCGTTTGAAGTACTCTTGAAGCTATTTTGTTATCCTATTCAAATTATACAGCAGTAACATTTAGCATGACACTGTGACAGGCTTGACAACGCAGAGAAAATGATGAAGGCAACCCACATTGCACATATTATTCAAATCAATGTTATTGCCTCCACATGGCAGATAGCTGATTGCAAATATGACAGTATCATACTGCAAATAATTATTGACAGAATATGTGGGTCGGTGTCCTTGTCTCACACAAAATAAGGGCCCCTGACAGCACTGAATGATAATGTAATCAAAGTTGATGACAGTAGCCATTGTTGCATCAAAATCAACTGATGCTGCACGTCAAATCTCTACTTTAGTAAATATGTTTTTCAAAATACCTCTGCCAACTAATCTTAGCTTCCAGCGCCATCTAAAATGGTCACACATGCAATGGAGGATGTGGTCTGTGGTCACTACGCTCAAGATTAAGTTAGCATGAAATAATGGGGCTGTACAGTAAGGGGAGCATATGGTAACATTTTTGCTTCAGTAGAGGGCAAAAACACTGTATGCTCTTCATTTACGTTTAGGACTCCTTCTTGTTTTCAAGAGGGAGATGTTGGTTTATTGGGTGGGTATGGGTGAAGGACACCAGCAGGTTCCTTGCCTCTTGACCTCAGATGTAAAAGTGGGAAACAAGGAGTAACTGTAGTGTTGAGACGTAGACCACCTGGTAGTGAAGAGGGTCGGGCAGTTTTCTGGGTTCTGTCCACAACAATTAGCAGTGAGCTGCAGTAATGAAGAGCTTAAGGTCTGGGGGTCAACACTCCACAGCTCAGCTTTTATTGTTCTGGGTCGGTCTTGTGATCCCTTACTCCCCCCTCTACTACAGTTTAACCACAAACAACGATGAGGCTCCAGAAATAATCTTTACATTAGGGAGAAGGGGAAGGTCTTTATGTGTTTTGACAACATATCATTGGATTTCAGCACCAGAGTTTGGAAGCTCCTTTGTGTAAGTATTTGACTTTGACTTGAATTCAGATCTTCACTTGATACATTTTTAAAGAGGTAAGGTGGGTGCAAATATTTGGTTTAGCATTCCACTTTGTTCATGTCATCTGTGAAGCCAAACAGCCAATTCATTCTGGGCTCTTTTCAATGAGAAATTATTTCTGATGTTCATTCAACAGTCTGAAGTTATTAAAACAAAAACAAATAAATGTTTGACTGAAGTATTTGTCCGAACATCTGAACTCCAAACCACCTCTCTCTCTCTCAATCCATCTATTTATTTGAAAGCACAGTGGAGTAAAACTAGACTCAAAATATTGTAACATAAAGATGTGTCTAACATCCTTACAATTATAGTTTCTACAGGTCAAATGGAAGATGGAAGACAAACTACACTACTTATGGTCATTAGTTTTGCCAGTTTTTTCAGTGTTGCGTAACTGTAAAATTTGAAGGGGATTTCCTTGTGCTGTCTTGTGTTAAAACACTTCAACAAACTCATGATGAAGAATCGTCATGAAAGCTTTGACACTCTGACTAAAGAAAACAGCATTTACCGTATTGTATGGGAAATGAGAGTGGGAGGAAACCTTTGATTGATGTGTGACATAAATCACATCGAATAATACCTATTTGACCACTGTGTAATTTGTGGCAGGTAGGTGTGCTCTAAAATGGTTCGGAGATCAGTTTATATGGGGAAACGGACTAGTTACACTCTCAATGAAGGGTTTATATTAGTTTATTCATTGCTGCCGTATTAGAAAAAAATGTATAGTGAAATACAGCATGTCTTATATTACAGGATCCTAGGATTTAAGCTGTGTGCTTTTAACCACTGCTTTTAACTTTGGGAAACCCTAAGTTAAGAAAGCCACGCCTTTCTGTCTGTCCTCAAAAC